AGGAACATCAAGATCGTCTCCTCACCGTAATTAAACCCTGAATTAATTGGAGTAACACACAAATCAGGTGTTTCTCCAACTTCCACGGGTTTCTTTATCATTTCAATGTGTCTGAAATTTACAAAATAGTGCGTACAGATACGATCTGAATCCTCCTGATTTTAATTAAATTCACTCCTAATTGGAATAAATTACGAAACGTTGCCTCGACTTCTTTACATTCTATCAACATTCTTCTCTACCGAAGTCAAACGACGATTATATAAATATTATTCTAATGTAAAATTGGTGGAAACAAGCGAAAGTATTTCAACGGTCGATATCTTCGGAGTTTCGTCGAACAACTGTACCTCGGATTCAGGTTACCGGTCTCGAAAAGTCCCAGAAAAATTCCCAGACTATTCCGAAGCGTTCCGATGGCAGTAACATAATCGATTCCTTACGTAAATGAACGGGGCGCGTCGAACGGGTTGAGTTACGCCTAAGTGCATTAGTTCCACGGAAAAATCGAGCGAATCTCGATTCGAGGGAACACGATATTTTCGATCCGGGACCTTCTAAACGGGTCTTTAAGGAAGCGATCCGGGACCGGTATATCCTGACCCATTTCGAGGAAGGGTAACACGCGGCGGCAACCCTTTCGCCAACGGGACCTAACGGGCCGACGCTCGTTTTTTCCCACATTCTACTTTCCACGAAACAGCAGCTACCTGATTTCGAACGGGGTGAAAAAAGCGGCTACGAATTAAACGATCCCCTCCTCGCAGTGCAGGTGACGCAACAGGCTAGAGAAAATTAATTTTCTGGCATCGATCGCTTCTCACCGAATCCGTGCTCGGGGCATTTGCATCCCCTTTCAATTTCTTTGTTCGCAGCTGGTTAGAATGGTTAATACGATCGTCCCTTCGACGATGCCTTTTTCCAGACTAATTTTCGTACCGTCCGGGGCTTGTTTCCATTCCGATGCTGGGCCTGGATTTACGATCCGGTTCGCGCATTTCGGATATACTTTCGTGGGATACGTTTCGCGATCCCTGTCCATCGAATCGAGTTGCGGAAATCGTCGGAGAAAAATCGAAGTCGAAACAGCACCGAAAACAATAATGTTAACCATTTCTTTCGCAAGATTCAACTTTAATTCTCGCAACGGGAATACGATCTCGATACAGCAAAGAGGATACACGGCTGTGCGAAGAACGAAGCCCACGGAGTATGTATCCCCATAAAATCTCGGCTAAGAATCGCTCGAAGATCCAATTGAGTGCCATTCATGCAATGTTCAAGATTATTACCGACACACAAGAAGCAGCTCTAATCCACTCGAACGAGAAATGAGCGTGGACGATGCACACGGGTCGGGCTGCAAGAGAAAGGTGTCCGAAAGCCTAATCGCCGATCGTGACCGCATTGTTCCAGATTCATCTGGTCCGGGGCCGACAATGTCCCCGTAGAAGACCCGCGGCTCGATCCACGAGAGGCTCGTCTCGTTTACAGAGAGCATAATCGTGACAAATGAGGATGTCGAATCACACCGGTGAATCGAAAAGAGGCAGAGAGAGAGAGAGAGAGAGAGAGAGAGAGAGAGAGAGTGGTTCACAAGCCGACCGGCCCGTGAATCAGGCCCATTTTCGTTCATGACTCTTTTCAGCTTTAATCATCCTTAATCCGCGGCCATAAACTACCCGCACGATGTAAATAGCTCGGAAATGTCAATCTAAAAGCTGGAAGGGAGGATGAATTGGCCTGCACCGAAGACCGAAGCGAAAGCCACGAGCTGCCGCGCTCGGGTCCCGTCTATGGGAACCACTTTGGGGATCGGTTTAATTCGATCGTTCGCGGCATTGTTTCAGCCAGGCCGCCTCGGCTAATTCGGCACATTGTTACTCCATTATGTCTACGAGTCGACCTCCGCGGGAGAATCCAGCCAAAGTCCATACGGGACTCGTGGCGACGCTAAAGGGGGAGGGTCTCGAGAACGTACGGAGGGTGGCGAAACTCTCGACATTATTGGACCGGAGCTACCCTCGGCCTCTGCTTCCCCCGGACGCCGCGCCGCGCCGCGCCACATCGAGCCTGCGCCCTTTTGTTTCCGCGACTGTAACTATGGAAAGCGATGGAAAGCCGGCGATGCAACCACTCGCCTCGGGAAGGCTAGTTTCGCTGAATACTCGTAAACAGGGGTAGAACGATCTCTTTGTAACGCGGAGGGTGCTGCACAATTCGATTCCGAACGGGTTTCCATGGCCGCTTCGTTGCAATTCGTGATTTTGGGGGTTGGTACGGTTCTATCTTAAATAACGTTCAGGAGCTTGCGAGAAATTCAAGTTTCGGGACATCGAGAACGTCGAAACCATTATCGGCACCCTCTGTATCTCGAGGATCCTCCTGATCGACTCAATTAGCAACGGGTTGAAAGGATATCGGGGTGGTTACCCCAGCTAATCGCATCATCGATAAGCGGCGACGATGAACATCTCGTTTTCGGGGGTGAAAAGTAGGAGGGTCCTAAACAGGGTGGCTCGGGGGAGTCGGGTGACGTCATTGGCTGATACCGGCGATTCTGCGCAAGGGTGGTTGAACGCCGAACCCCCTGGAAACGGAAGATTACTTCGGAAGATTGTAGTTTCTTCAGGGTGCAATGCATGCCTCGAAGAAAAATTGCCAAAGTCTCCGCCCTTATTAGATTCTAGATTAAACACCGACTGCGCGAAGCACCGTCCCGAATTTCCCGCACTCCGAGCGTCCTTCTGAAATACCATTCAATTAAACTATGCTACGTCAAGGTAACGCATAGAAAAAAAGCATAATATCCCACGAGCCCCTCCAAAATCGTGAGAAATTTTATCGAAAGCATGGTCGCCGTTCCAACCCCCGTTACCGGGCCATCNAGCCGACCGGCCCGTGAATCAGGCCCATTTTCGTTCATGACTCTTTTCAGCTTTAATCATCCTTAATCCGCGGCCATAAACTACCCGCACGATGTAAATAGCTCGGAAATGTCAATCTAAAAGCTGGAAGGGAGGATGAATTGGCCTGCACCGAAGACCGAAGCGAAAGCCACGAGCTGCCGCGCTCGGGTCCCGTCTATGGGAACCACTTTGGGGATCGGTTTAATTCGATCGTTCGCGGCATTGTTTCAGCCAGGCCGCCTCGGCTAATTCGGCACATTGTTACTCCATTATGTCTACGAGTCGACCTCCGCGGGAGAATCCAGCCAAAGTCCATACGGGACTCGTGGCGACGCTAAAGGGGGAGGGTCTCGAGAACGTACGGAGGGTGGCGAAACTCTCGACATTATTGGACCGGAGCTACCCTCGGCCTCTGCTTCCCCCGGACGCCGCGCCGCGCCGCGCCACATCGAGCCTGCGCCCTTTTGTTTCCGCGACTGTAACTATGGAAAGCGATGGAAAGCCGGCGATGCAACCACTCGCCTCGGGAAGGCTAGTTTCGCTGAATACTCGTAAACAGGGGTAGAACGATCTCTTTGTAACGCGGAGGGTGCTGCACAATTCGATTCCGAACGGGTTTCCATGGCCGCTTCGTTGCAATTCGTGATTTTGGGGGTTGGTACGGTTCTATCTTAAATAACGTTCAGGAGCTTGCGAGAAATTCAAGTTTCGGGACATCGAGAACGTCGAAACCATTATCGGCACCCTCTGTATCTCGAGGATCCTCCTGATCGACTCAATTAGCAACGGGTTGAAAGGATATCGGGGTGGTTACCCCAGCTAATCGCATCATCGATAAGCGGCGACGATGAACATCTCGTTTTCGGGGGTGAAAAGTAGGAGGGTCCTAAACAGGGTGGCTCGGGGGAGTCGGGTGACGTCATTGGCTGATACCGGCGATTCTGCGCAAGGGTGGTTGAACGCCGAACCCCCTGGAAACGGAAGATTACTTCGGAAGATTGTAGTTTCTTCAGGGTGCAATGCATGCCTCGAAGAAAAATTGCCAAAGTCTCCGCCCTTATTAGATTCTAGATTAAACACCGACTGCGCGAAGCACCGTCCCGAATTTCCCGCACTCCGAGCGTCCTTCTGAAATACCATTCAATTAAACTATGCTACGTCAAGGTAACGCATAGAAAAAAAGCATAATATCCCACGAGCCCCTCCAAAATCGTGAGAAATTTTATCGAAAGCATGGTCGCCGTTCCAACCCCCGTTACCGGGCCATCCCGAAATTCCTCCAACCGCGTAGACCCAGAACCACTTCCAAAGCTCATCAATTTTTCGAAAAAATCCGCAGACCGCCCGGAGCCCCGTGGCATCGCGGGTCACCCGGTCCCGCTCGAATTCATCATGCCGAGTCGGTCCTAAGTCGGCGCGCAGCATCCTCATCGATCAGCATCAAGCATCGTGCTCGGAGACCCTCCCACAATCACCCCCACCAGGTGCGGGGTGCATCGGCGACAAGAAGCAGAAGCACGTGGACGTGGTCTCTCTGGGAGGAAGAGAGCGGGCAAAGAGAGAGAGAGAGAGAGAGAGAGGGAGAGAGAGACGAAGAAAGACAGAGAGGTAGAGAGGTACAGAGAGAAATAGAGACAGAGCCGGAGGGCGCAGCACGCCGCGCTCGCCAGCCGGTGGACGAGTACGCGACAGTAGACGAAGACGAAGACGAAGATCAGAAGAAGAGCTCCGTTGGACGGTGGCAGAAGCGTATGCGTGGTCCCGCTCTGGCTCCTCGTGGCTGTGGTCTCAGCAATCGGAGGACCCGTCGTACCCGTCGCGACAGAGAGGGTTGAGAGAGAGGGAGAGAGGGAGCGTGGGAGAGAGAGAGAAAGAGGGAGAGAGAGGGTGGTGGTGGGGGCGAGCGACGTTTGAGACTAGGAGGAGACGAGGGCGGGGAGAACGGTTGCTTGTCTTTCCGTTCGACGGGGTGGGGCATCGTTCCAGAGACGGCGGTGGGGACCGCGAACCGTGGCGCAGCTCGGGCCGAAGGGAGGGGGCTGAGAGCTCCGCTCCCCACCTCTCTGTCTCTCTCTCGCCCCTCGGAGGGGTTCAGTCATCTCGCGCCAGCCGAGCCACGCGCACTCGCTTGCCTCAGATTCTGGGCTCGGGGAAAGACTCTCTCTCAGCAATCGCACGTTGCGTTCCGCTGCACACGCGCGGCCACGGTCTTCCTCCACCCCTGTCGACCGAGGGGTTGAAATCGTTGTCGTCGTCGTCGTCGTCGTTGTCGTCGTCGTCGACGTCTCGATCCTCGCAGACAGCATCGTCCGCGCACGCGGAGACTCGCAAACGGTCGCAAGACGCTCGCAGACGCTCGCGGGAGGTCGCAAGCACCACCCCCTACCGATGGAAACCGCGGAACACCCCCACTTCGTGGACCGGCGAGCCCCACCAGGTGGTAGGAAGCAGCTTCGAGCGGAACAGCGGCGAGTGTCCTCCGTGGAGACCCAGTGATCCTGCTCGAGATCATCCCCTTCGGACCGTGGTTTCGCAAAAGTGCTACCTTTCCGCTCGCTTTTCTCCCTCCCGCGGAGATTTGCGCGTCTCTCGGGGCTTGGATCTCGCGATCGGCGCGCCGTGCACGCGCGCACAAGCGCACACGAGCGAACGCGCAAACGCCCCACCCCTCGGGGAGCTCTGCCACCACCAGTTCGGGAACGGAGCCCCTCCCCCGCCGCCCCCGGGCCACTCGGAGACGCGGCTCGCGGGCTCTCGGAGAGCGAGAGGACAGTGGCATCGCATCGCGCGTCTATCGACTTCTACCCGGTGGATGATCGGTGGTGGTGCCGAATTTCCGGTTTGTTGGACCGCGCCGAGAGGGTGGCTGGCACTCGACGCAGTTTCGCGCCGCGGTACGAAATCGTGCGAGGTCGGCCGGCTACGGTTCTTCGATGACACGCAGTGCGACGTCGACTTGGAAACGGGAAACAGAACCAGTAATTGATTATTATTATTATTATTATTATTATTATTATTTTTGTTCATCGTGGACGGTGTGATTGGCCGAGTGATTGCTACCGATACCGTGATCAGTGTGATCGAAGACCAACCCCTCTCCGGACGGTGTCGATTTCTCGTTGGTTTCCGATGGCACGTTGACCCAGAGGGTGGCTCGACGACAGAGCGACCCGACCCGAGGACCTGGACATTGTCGCCGGTAGACTGTCGCGAGTGAGTGCGATGAGACAGGGTGACGCGAGGATCGGGGAAGAATAGACCGTCCTGGGACATTGTACTCTTCCTCAGGGGGTATCGGGGGGCTCCTCGAGGACTATGCTGTCCGGGGAGAGCCGCGAAGAGGACAATCGCTGAGATAACACGAGGTAAGCGTCCTTGTTCGCGATGCCCACGGATTTTCGGTCTGTCTGAGACGTCGACCGGTGCTAGGGGATGGTTGCGACTGGTCTAGCGAGTCGCGTAGACGATCGATACCGTTGCCGGGAATTTTTCCACGAGACCCCTAGATTCTTTTCGCTTTGCCTTGGCGACGACGCGCGAACGGTGTTTTAGGAGATACCGAAGGATCTGACAGTCGCACGCCACTGACATCAGGAATTTTGCCTCCGTACCGCTAGATTTTCAGTTCGCCGGCGACGTTGACACCAGCCAGATGGATACTTCGACTCTGACGTCACGAATCTGTCTAGTCACGAGGTTAGGAAGGTTTTTAAAGATCGTGGATGGATAGATTTTTTCGCAGTCTGGAAAAAGTGTTGATGTCTCGATTGCCTCTGTAGCTCGAGCATTTCTTCCTTTCGTTTTTTTCGCGAGACACGACCGCGCGCGTTGGAAGAACCGAGATTAATTTACACGTAATTAGCCCTAATTGCGCCTACAATGTTCGCACGAGCCTCTCTCGACTCCTTCGTTAGATCCACGAGAGATAAATCGACGATCGACATTCATGTATTCGACGGATTTTCCATATCGCCGGGAAAATGGCGGCTTCGCGCGAATCCGTTCGTTTCCGCGATGCCGCGATTATCATACGCGTACAAACGATTCCGTGGTAATTCAGTAATTTTCATTCGATGAATATCGATCGTCTCGAATCTCTTTGCTGGATACATGAACGATCGCTGTTCCCGAAGCTGTCGGGATAATTAAACAGTCGACTGTCGGACAATGTTCGTTATCGTTATTATGTCGTTGCTCTGCTCTCGAACTGTTCTGCGGTAAATATTCTTCGCGCCATTCTGTCAGAGGATGAACGTACATCTCGTTGTTTTACAGACGAAGATTATTATTGCAATCTAATTTTAAGGAACTAGAATCGCGATGTCCCAAAGAAACGATCTAAGAACGAGCCACTAAATCGAGCAGACCGCGGACGTTGACGATGGCAAACATCGACGAGATGGCCTCGAATTCCCAGGTATAGGCGAATGGGTTGGTAATCGGGAAGCCGCGAAAATCCGGCGGGTTTATTTATAATTTATAGGAGGCGGCACGCGCGGCAACAAAGTGTTCAAATTATGTCAGGGAAGTGCGATGGGTTATTGCGATGGGGCGGCTGTAAAGTCAGTTGGCAGCCACTTAGCCGGCTCCGGGATTCCTCGAGCCCAGGGAAGACGGATTTAGCATCGACGGCCCGCGTTATTGTTCGAATTACTCCCGCGACCGCGTCGAACGCCGGGGAAAAACTGCGGGACCGTGCAAATTGTGTTCTGAAAAGCGAAACGCGCTGGGCGAGATCCGCGGCGCGGCTCGTCTCGCTTTCTATCGGCCGCGCGAAACGAGTAATTGGCCGGCTCGGTCCGCGCTCGAAGGCCGAGGAAAACGCATCCTCCGCCCTTCTACAACCTTCTTCAACCTTTCTCGGACCTTCTCTCCTCCTGGCGGCCGTTCGGTCGGACCGGAAAATTAGCTTTGCTCGCCCCGGCAGCACCTGGAAATAACCGCGAGAAACGCTCCGCGCCAATAATTTTTCTGGTTCGCGCGACCGCGCTCAGATCGTATCGGCCGCGGAAGGGAGAAGGGAGAAGGGAGATTTTCGAGGCGAGAGCCGCGCGGAAAGACACGCGATAGAACGCGGGGGTGGCCAGCCACGGGCTGGATTTTTATGGCGATCCGCGGCCCTCCGCCTCGAGCTCGAGCTCCGGCTCGAGAGCAGCCTGTAATCAGAATCGCGGGCCACGATAACGCCGAGTGTTTCTGCCGTAGAACCGCGCCGTTCTTTTCGCGCAGCCACCGTGAATTCTCAAATGTTCCCGCTCCTTTGTAATCAGCGAACGATACTCGGGCTCTCTAATACTGGCTTTCTGCGAATGGAGCAGCTAAGCGTTATTGTTTCCCATCGACTCGGTTTGTCGTGGAAGTTGCCGCGAGTTTTACCTAATTGATGGCATTCGGTTATACGGTTTACGTGTCTTGATCGACGATTTTTACGGAGCACTTTTAATCTGCCTCCACCACGCTGTTTTATAGTTTAGAGCGTGCGCGAGTAAGATTCGCTTCGTTCGGCGTCGTTCTTGTTTTTCGATTGGTTCGAGAAAACGTTTCCGATGTTCCACGAACGATTCCGATAAAGTGGATTCGCCAGCTTTTTTCGCTGACAGCTGGATGCTCGTTTTTTATATTCGTCCATTCCAAATTTAGAGAAGCAACGGTATTTATCTTGCTTGAACATTTTTATCGAACAGATCTTGATCGATTACGACAGATATTCCTGAAGGCAAGCTAAACTGTAGCCGATTTGCTTAGATTTCGAGCTCGAGCAGAGATCTTGCCAACAATTATTTCAGAGGAATATTTCTATGACCTCGATAATTGCGAGACAATGAATCTCGGAAGCCGGTGATTGGAGGAAGCATGGCGTCAAAGCCGGCTCGTCCCGAGCAAATAAATCGCAGAACAGAAAGCGAACGGCAGTCGGTGGATACAGACATCAGCAGCTTGTCCAGATATCGATCAGTCCCGGTTCCGTCTCCGCGCATCGAAATCTCCGTCCGAAAAACCGGAGCAAAACCGCAGCGGAGGCAAATCAAGTAACGAGACGAGCCATAAACAAGCATTTAAGAAAAAACGAGTCCGACGAGAACGAAACGAAAGGAAATGAGACCAAACGAAACGAAACGAGACGAGACGAACACAACCGCCTGGAAGGAAGGAAGGTGGAGAACGAGGGGAGGGTTGCCGGTGGAGAGCAAGAAGACGACGAAGAAGAAGAAGAAGAAGAAATGAAGAAATCATGGGAAAAACGTGTACCGGGGAAGTATGCTTGTTGATACACGGTCGAATCTCTCGAGAAAGGAGGAAAGAACGAGAATACACGGACGGGACGAAGAGGGGCGACGGTAGAAGGAGACGAAGAAAGAGAAAGAGAAGGAGGAGGGGGAAACGAACGAGGTGGACGGGGTGGGGAGGCGAAAGGGGGAGGAAGAAAACCTCGAAACAATTGGAGGCGCGGAGGCGGCCGCATTTCATGTTGGCTGGCATCGGCTCCCTTTAAAGAGTCTCTTGCTTTTTGTTAGCTCTTCGAAAATTATGATTGTTTGTCCGCGAGATTTACTGCGGCCGGGGGCCTCCGCAGTGCGGTACAACGTGGCCGTGGTGCCCTCCGGGGGCACACGGGGACACGGGGACACGGGCCGGAGCTCGGCTGCGGGGGGCGTTGGGGGGTGGTTTGCCCAGATTAGAGAATCAGGAAAGTCACGACACGATCTCGGTCCCCGCTACCGAATCCCGTGCACGCGCTGCCGCTCCTCTTCCTGCTCTTCTCCTCCTCGCTTCTTCTTTTCCTCGCGAGCCGCTTCTTCCCAATGTGTATCTATCTCGCGACCGCCGCAGAACCACCCCGCGCCGCGGCCAACTTATCGTAATCTACCGCGAAGATTAGCCGTGTTTGAATTAGCGCGGCGAACGATTAAAAGTTTCCGCTGCTCCAGTTCGAGGTGCTTTCCGAATCGGAAGCTCTTCGATTCTGGTTTTTACGGGGGTGGAGGGATGTTTGGGAACCGATACCGGTGGGCAATTGGATTCGTTCGGCTTAAGGTTCGATCGGACATTCTAATTTCGAATGTTTTCGATGTTCGGGAACCTCGGGATGCGTTTCGATCGAGACTCCTGACGAATCGGAGTTCGAATTTAGAGAGATTTGAATTTTTTACCGCTCCAGTTTTCATCGATTTTGGAGTCGAATCCGCTGAGAATGTTTCATGCTGCGAGGTTGCTCCGATTAAGGTTGTTGGAGAATCGAAGGGCTAAGAGCAAGGGGTAGATGACTCGTAACTGCTAAAAGATGAGGTTTTTACATATGTTTAACTTTTAGCGGCGAAAATTCGTGCGAACTTAATTGGCAATTGAATCTTCGAGTCGTTGTATTATAATATTTCGCTCTGAAAATTTCGGGGAGGAAAGACGAGGAACGTTTCCGGAGTTGGTGTCGCAGACGATATCGTCGCCATTGGTATGGTAACTTGTAGAGCACGTTCGAATCGTCTCCGCGGCTGCAGCAGCAGAGTGCAAAAGGTTAATAATTGCAAACTTCATGCAAATACTTCACGCGAGACCAGCTATTCACAGTTGCAAAACAGTATTTCCTTACATATCGCACGGTGTACCGGCTTCGGACAAAACGAACGTTTCGAATCTTGGTCTCGCGTACGATTTTATACAACGTACAATTTCATAAAGCGTCTCATCTTGCACGAATTTCCGATAATTTCGCAGACCGATTCGGACAGCAGTTAGCAGAGATTACGGAAAGTGCGGAACCCGAGCCGGATAATTCCGCGAGCCCGTTCGAAATGAAATTTTATTTCCGAGTGTTCCACCTCGAATCGCGGTCGTGAATTGTCCGAGCAGTAAAAATCCGAGGGATGAAAGAGCCCGGAGAATTGGACCATGGCAAAAATCCCGTGGAATCTCGGGGGACCGGCTGAGAGCCGCTGCCGGCGTGTTTATTAATGTCTCCGAGCAGATATAAACCGATTTAACGCCGGCGTTTTTATTTTCACGCTCGTAAAAATGAGCTAATGAATCCGCAGGAGTTCCAGGAATCTCGGTGGAAATGTTTATCGAGACCGATGATTGCGATCGCCGCTGTGCAACGCGATACCTCGTCCGCTCGTCGATTTCCGTATTTTCCGATCGGGAAATCGCCGATTTTCTCGGATTTGTAATAAACGCCGTTTCCTCTCCCGGCTCCCTCTTTCTCTCTCTCTCTCTCTCACGCTCGTAAACCATCGACTTTTCAACTCGATGCGCACGGTACTCGGCTGATTTATTCGGTATCTTATTGTGCTTCCGAACTAAACCCGACCTGGCCATCCCAAAAAGTGGCTCCCCCTCTGCTCTCTCTCTTTTTCTCTCGATCTCTCTC